ACTCTCCTAGCTTATGCCGCAATATACCCTTTTTACCTGAATACGGAGTTTATATCTCTTAGTTGATTTGATACGCAAGAGCATGCTCTACGTAAACGAGGTAAATTATTCACAAACAAGTTGATGAAACAAGAATATCAAGTCTCTTTTAAAGTCATCATTTCGTAAGTTCTATGGTCGATACAATGACCTTGTCAGCAAATACTAGACAGAACAATTTATCATTGAATCAAATGCTGACTGACGTTTTTCATACTTATTGTTAGTCCATTATTTACGCACTGAATTGACGACGGGTATTTCCGTTATTTCCCGCTCATGACCAGGAGCACATGGCTTATTGTTCTATGGACATTTGAGCTTGAATACTGTCTGTTATCTCCATGTTTTTCATTTTTAGCTCTACTGGTCAGAGACCAGAAGAGCTTATGCGATAGTAATGCGTCCGACATCCGTCCGTCTGTCTGTCTGTTTGTCCGTCTGTTTGTAAACAATTTTTCAAAATGCTACTCCTCCTACAGTTTTGGTCTGATTTCAATATTACTTGGCACATAAGTAGACTACACTAAGATACATAATTCTGCATATCGGTTTTTGATTTCGATGAACGATGTTGCCGTGGTTACTAAAAATAGGTATTTCTGTGAAATTCTTTCAAAATGCTACTCCTCCTACAGTTTTGATCTGATTTCAGTATAACTTGGCACACAAGTAGACTATACTAAGGTACATAATTCTATGTATCGGTTTTTAATTTCAATGGTGTTGCCGTGGTTACTAAAAATAGAAATTTCTGTGAAATTCTTTCAAAATGCTACTCCTCCTACAGTTTTGGTCTGATTTCAGTATAACCTGGCAAACAAGTAGACTACACTAATATACATAAATCTGTGTATCGGTTTTTGATTTCGATGAACGATGTTGCCGTGGTTACTAAAAATAGAAATTTCTGTGAAATTCTCTCAAAATGCTACTCCAAATACAGTTTTTGTCTGATTATGATATAATGTGGCGTGCAAGTAGACTACATAAAGAACATAAAGAGACTTAATCAAGGATCATTATTCTATTTATTGCTGTTGTAAAGTTCCAATTCTCAACTGCTTAAGTTCTTTTCTCTTCCTTTGCTATAAGTACAAACCACGGCGTATTGTTTTATGGACTTTTGAGCTTGAATACTGTCTGTTATCTCCATTTTTTCATTTTTGAAAAGTTTTAATTACCTGTCCATTCTGGTATGCATATTTAACATATAAACAACATGTATCTACAGTTTGATTCAGCGGTGACTGTCTCTAAATTTATGATTGTTGTATTCATATTTATATATTTTAGAACCCAATTTAAAAAATGCAAATTAATTATTAAATTACAACCATTCAAAATGTTATCGCAAGACGCGCGAGAATGGCAAACCTTTTCTCCATATAAATGCTTTTTAAAATAAATCAAAAGTTTTTCTGCTAAATGCCAGAAAGATTTCGGTGTCTTCTAGATTGCTGGTTTTGTTTGCTAATCACGCTCAGATAGAAGCAATTTCGCGGTAGTTAATTATTGAAAAGCAGAATCAATTACACACTAATATACGTTAGTAATTAGTGTGAAATTAGCCTAATGAATATTTATTGCGGTATTAGGAACATTGGATATGTATATTTTTCAATTAATGACAGCATCCGTTTTATTTCTGTGAAAAAAATTCATATTTGAAAGAATATTAGTAACTTGCCTGTGAATAAATACCATATTTTCTTAATATTTAAAGGAAATTTCAATTTAATTTTTTTTATTATTCAAGAACCTGTTTTTGGGGGGTATGTATTACTGGAAGAATACTGAAACCAAACTATAAATCGACCAGCTTTCTGTTTTCATAGAACAAAAATAATATTAATTTCATTTTAAAGAATTATGAAAGATGTGTTTAAGCAAGGCATCTGCATTGTTCATTGATTTAGTTTTCACGTTTTGTTCAACCTTTTGTAAAACTATGTCCAGTAAATCAAGGTGTTTGAATTTTCGCCCGTAACCGTTGAGTTTTACATAGTGAAATTGGAATCTTAAGTTAATTTCATGACATAGTTATTTCTTAAATTATTTTTCTTTTCTCGTCGCAGCTTCTTATTTATAAGTTTTGTGAAACAATTTTAGAAAATAATTATAAAAAGACGAAACCCATTTATGAAATAAAACAACTACAGTATCCGGAATGAAGCCTACTGGGAACAAATGATATTCGACATAATCTGTAGAGATGCAGAATTAAATAATTTTGATGTCATCGATCGTGGATCAGATTTCGTGCAGAAAGTTAGTTATCATCCAATTTACAACGGTAAAATGGATTTTATATCTAGCAATAATGTGTTCCATAGAAAAAATATATCTGAGAAGGGAAAATGTAATCTCCTGAGGGCGAGAGATCTGTGAGAAAATGGCAAAGATCACATGGGAAGGATCTAGTTGTTAAGTAGGTCAGTTTGTTTGTTGTTTAGCGTCCTTCTTTAGAATTTCTCATTCATTTGGAGACGCCATGACTTGCCGGTGCAGAGTTGTAGTTTTATACCTATACTCGGCCCTCATTGCTATTGAGCAGTGAGGGATCTTTTCCAGGGAACACTACAGTGACATTACAGTGGAACCTTGGTCTCCTCCGAAGGATCATTCTTAACGTGTCGCAGTGGATTCGAGCAGCGACGTAAGGATCGTCTCCTTACTCTGTGACACTAGAGCAGACGCTTTTTCCACTGCGCCACACGGTCGACTTGTTTCTTTTACAGTTTTATGTAAAGAATTTCTCTGAGAATCTTGGCACATATTTTTTAAAAAATTGTCTCTTTATGCATTGTCTTTTCTGAACACATTTTTTTTTCTTCGATGAGAAATGCAGTTTGTAATTTTGTTTAAAAGGATATCAGATTTTCAAAAGAAGATGAAAAAATCTTTTTATCAAATTTTCTCAGATGACATTTTATATACAAGGTCACTTTATCACAGAAAACGCCCAAAAACGTTTTATATTCTAGAGGGAAAAAAAACAGTCTTACCCAAAAAATAAACAGCCAAATTACTAGTAGTAATTTTAGGTGACATTATTATCAAAATTATACTTATGGGTTTTGTGTTTTTGGAAAAAAAAAAGTTTGAAACATCCATCTTTTTCATCCTTTTGCAAGCTAAAATGTGTTTTGGATGAAATATAAAGATAACGAACGGTAGTCCAGTTAAGTTTACTTGAACAAATTGTGATGCCTTGTCTTAATATTGAATTTACAGGATAAGAGAAGTACAAAATGTAGAACACAGGTAACTCAGGATTGTCGACCACCAGCTTGTTTTGTTGTAAAGAGCAAATTGAATTAAAACCGAAAAATATGGTGAAGATTTAGTGTAGAAATCAGAAATTAACAATCTTTCTCCAACATTTTTTATCAGGGGAATATTTCCTTATTTAATCTATTTTTTATAGTCTTTGTAAAGACTATCTATATCGAAAGAGGACTTTGATCCTGTTTTTCAGTGAAGTATTAAAATGAAAAATTAGCAGATATGAAAAATACATTGGTTGGTGATTTTTTTTGTCAAATTATTTCCCTCCAATTTACCATGACATGTTCTTGTATGTGAAATTGAAAATTAATAAAGCTATGTATGTATGTGTGTGATTTTTGTCTTTCCATGTGTTTATCTCTTGTAGGTTTCGTTTTGTGGTTTGTTAATGACTTAAGTACCTTTTTTAATATTATTTTTTAATTGATTAATTTGTTTTATATATAAAACTTGCCCAAAATATGTCCTTCAAAAATATTACATTTAAATACTGAAACTCGAAATACTGTAGTACCTGAAATTTGTTTTAAAATGCAAATATTTTTATGAAATATGGAGATACAGAACAGTTTTCCAGCTCAAAGTCCATTTTACAAAGCAAATCGGGTGCAGAGCTATTACGAATCTCTAAAACATCAGACGTTGGATTGCCATGGAAGAGTTAGCATCCCCTGCCGACCAGTGACACCCGGGAAAAGAAACAGGAAAATTGGTAGACAAATTAGTTTATAAATAATGGCGTACCAATAACTATGAAAAACATCAGGCAGCATTTAAATCAATGGTAGGTTGTATCCGCTGACAAGGCCATTGTACTGACCACAACTTGCAAAACGATGACCTCAAACAGAACTGTTGATATCTTTGTTTCATTGACATGTTTTTCAGTAGCTTGCCTCGTTTAAAAAATAAGTCATAGCATGCTATTAACTGCGTATCGAATTAACTGAAATGTATAAACTTTTTATGCAGGTGATAAGGGTATATTATTGCTAAATATTAAGTAAAGAAATTTGACGCTTAAAAAGTCATCACGTTTAACATAGAGCTTTTTTTGGTAGGTTCTAATTAACAATTTTTTCTAGTAAAATATCCAGATATGAAAACAGATTTGTCAGACTTTGTGGTATCATATATCATATCTGTGGATATTAAAATTACAATTCTGGAAATAGTCATGACAAGGACTTTCCACCTTGTCTTGAAGCCTTTGGACAGCAGTACCTGTTTTGTAGACTTTTGCCTACGTTACCACTTGAACCTGTTTAACAAAGAGCTTTTATTTTTTTTTCTGTGAGTATATGTTTCCTATAAAGCTTTCTAATCCAGAACACATTTCTTGGTGAGTTGCTTTATGTTTCCATATTGAATATGACATAAATATGCCCCCCTTGAAAACACACCATCTACGTGCATGTGCTTTGTTTCGTACAGGCATGTGTATTTTCTGCAGCAGAATAAAATTTGCCTTCATTAATTCTAATGGATTAATTTATAGATGTTTATTATATACTCCAAGATGATTAATACTCTTGATTTACATGACTTAAAAACTCTCTGATTTTCAAGGGATAAATATTTAGAATATCGTAAACGCAGAAATTCCCCTACATATCAATTTAACTCCTATCGTAATGTACTACAAAGACAGGTAAGTGAATTGTACTCACCTGCAATCGCCGGAACTATATTCATCGCTGTAGTTAAATCAACAAACCAAACAACACTGAATATGACAAGGAATGAGATGGAATGAAGAGATCTGATTATTGGGAAAGAAAGACTGAAACAATAAAGACAAGCTGAACACAATTATATCTGTTAATCATACGGTTAGACAGTCATTACCAACTCAGATAAAAATGATTATTTTATTACTACAAACGCCAGTTGTGTGGTAACGTAGTAAACTATTTGATAGTGTCTGAAAATTTACTCGAATTAAGGAAACACTTGAGTATGAATAATTCAGGTCGGGTTCGGTGTAACTGTCTTTCTCTGTTCTTCCTAATCGTAGATTTCCCAAGGTTACAAAACATAATCTGTGCAGTTATAACCAGTCAGTGTTTATTGACGAATACAGTAATTTCTCTGGGCCTCTGTTCCCGGTAATTGATGTATTGTCCAATTACGTTCACTTAAACCTTTCTGAAACAATATGAACTGTCGTCCGAAAACTTATTAGTTCTACAAGAAATACAATGACAATGTTTAACCAAGTTCTGCAAAAGAGAATAATTAACATTGTTTAATTGGTGTTTTTAAATGAAATGCTTGCTTGTAAATTCCTGCAATAAAAATTAAAATAAGCTAGTGAACATGTTGTCCATTGTAGATTGAAGATGCATTATCCTCAGATAGTGGCAATTCAAATTTGTTCAAATCATGAAACTTCGGGGTGGGGAGGGGCTACATTGCAATGAGGTAGCACCTTTTCTGATAGAGGGACCAGCCAGAGAAAAAAAAATTCAATTTGATACCTGAAAAAAAACTTGACTGTCTACGGAATTTCACCGTTTTTTCCAGATCATAACAAGGAACACAAAGTGGGTGTCACAGGTTTTAAAAAAAGGATGGTACTCCCCAATGGCACCTGTAAAATATCCGTTTTTGCTCTGCTCCTGATTTGTATTGTTCAAATTGAGCCTTGAGCATTCTTACTGTTCGCCATCTCCATATTTCATTCAGGAAATTATCAATCAGACAGTGTTTTATTACACAACATCTTTACCAAACAGAGAAAAATAATAACGGAAACTTACATGGGTTTACAGCTTTTAAAAATTGAATAAGAGATAAGCTTTATGTATGAAATGTCTCGTTATACATGGCTTTTCTATATCAATTTAATACACACCTCCTCTACCTCTCTTTCATAGAAGATGTCTGAGCAGAGTTTCTCCTCATTCAATCTTTTTATTATTAATCTTCCATCCCATCCTGTATCTATATTTGTTAACCAAATAGAGGAAAATAATGTTGCTTTAAGAAAAAAAGATTCCAAAGTGGGTGATGAGAGCGTCTGCTCTTGAGTCGCAGGTTCGAATCCCAATGTGGGACGTGGAGACCGGTGGTTCCGATGAGACCGTATAAACCGAGGTCCCGTGTCACAGTAGGTGCTGGCACGAAAATGATCCCTCCTTGCTCAATGGCCCTCTGTGCCGATTATAGACCTCCACCGGCAAGTAGTGGCGTCTCCATATAAGTGAAATGTTCTCGAGAGGGACTGTAAACAATATACAATCAACCAGAACGGGTGAATCGTTACTTTTAAAAAATTTAATTGTATTAGGTTTTATTAATAAGACGTTTGCTCTGACTATATTGCACATTAACGATGATGTTGCATTGTCATGTAAAATATTTTATTATCTCTTCAGCCAAACTGCTTTCTAAAAAATCCATTACATTAAATATTGTATCGGCAAACGGGTCAAAAACAATGTCAAAAGTAAAGCCGGTGTGTTGACACTTTTCAAGAGATTGCACACCTGTATGTTTATAGGTGTACGTATATTGCCGACCTTCTGGTCATGATTTATCATCCTCTGTAGATATGAATTTTAAACTTAACTTCCCGTCACAAAATTGGATAGTATATTTGATTTCGTAAAAAAAAATAATAACATCCGCATTGCATTAGCTAAATAAACTTATGAGGTTTGTTTTCATGGTCATTTTGTAACCTGATGCGGAATAAGTTTGTGACAGTAATTTCCTGTATCTGATGGTCAATGTCAATTACAACTGTCTCAATGAAAAAAAATAAACAAATCGTATCATATGTGAAACTGAAATAAGTAATGAACTTTTCTTTTCCAGTTGAAAATATTTTCAAAAACGCAATTATATCGGGAAGAATTTCGAGCTTTTTTTGTTTACGTTGAGGGGTTAAATTGTTTAAAGTTTTGATAATATTTTTTTCAAAACAGTGATCTTGAAAAATAAGATGTTTATTAAATTCTTTTGATTCATAGATTACTGAAAACTCATCGGAAAGTGCATTATAGAATCTTATTGCATCATAAAAGTATTTTCAATATTAGCCAAAAGAGATAATCTTAATTTTGTAAATCTTATAATCTTAATTTTGTAACTCTTATAATCTTAATTTTGCGAATCATATCAGGACTAGTGTCCGGGCCAGGACAATTAACGGTTCACGGCCTGAGGCACGAGCAACTAATGGTGCAGGGGTAATTCAGCAGCCCTGGTCCGAAGAACTGATGGCCCTATGGTAATATAGCTGCTGATAGGCTTCGACAACTAATGCGCGCGGACTGGACAACAAATAGTACACGGTAAATCCAGCGGTCCAGTCCCGAAAACTTATAATGCACGTTTAATTCAGCTGCCCTAGCCCCAACTCCAAATGTGTGTCGGCAATATAGCTGCAAAGGCAATTGTAATGTTTGTCTGTTGTTTAACGTTCCTTTCGGGAATTTCACTCATATGGAGTCGCCATCACTTGCCAGTTTCAAGCTGGAATTATTTTCCTATACTCGACACTTACGGCCATTGAGCAGTGAGGGATTTTTTTCGTGCCATGCAGCACCTACATGTACTGCGACACGGGACCTCAGTTTTCCTATACTCAGCATATACTGCGATTAAAAATTGAGGGATTTATTTCGTGCCAGCACCTACTACAACGTGGTACCCCAAGTTTTTACGGTTTCATCGGAAGGAACGGTCGCCATGTCCCAAATTGGGATTCAAACTCGCGACGTAAGGATCAGCTGCCAAGGTACGGTCAACTAATGGTGCTTGAGTAATTCAGTTTGGCAGCTCCAGCAATACTAACTGTTCACGGACAATGCAGCTGGCAAGACCTCAAGCAACTAACTAGTATGTTGCTAGGGTAATTACTTGGCCAGACCCGCAAAACAAATGGTAGAGGGGAAATTCAGCTGTCCAGTTCCGCACAACTTATGGTACAGAGGTATATAATATACCTTGACGGGACAACTAATGGTTCATTAGATTTACAGCTTCCCAAGCCCGGAATACTTTTGGTGCACTTATAATTCAACTAGCCAGGCCCAAATAATTAATGGTGCATGGTTAATTCAGCAGTCCTGGACCGAACAATTAATGCGCGGGTAATTAAGCTGCCTAGGCACCGACAACTAGTTGTACTTGGGTAGTTTAGCTGACAAGACACGGTATTGTTTGTATGTTTAACATCCCTTAATTCGAGAATTTTTCCACTCATATGGAGACGCTATATTTGCAACTTTTGTACTATCAAAGTCCATAAAGACAATACAAAACAGGAGCAGAGCAAACACTTTTATAAGGTTTTTCCCGAAGAAGGGTATCTGATGTTTTTCCTGCGACTTTTTTTATGATTTTGGTTTTTTCACGTGCCAGGAAAAATGTCAGGGTTATTCACCGCGGACCCGCACAATTAATGGTACACGGGAAAATCAAGTACCCAGTCCTACACAACTTATGATACAGAGGTTAAATTCCCCTGATTTTCAAATACATGGCGAACTGAATTATATGCCGAAATTTGAATTTATCAAAAAACGCACAATGTCTCTAGTAAACTCTCTATTTAATATCAATAATGGCTGAAAAATATAATTTCTTCACATCTTGTATATGATACAGGGATTTAATCGGACATACATATATGTTTACATTTCAAGTCAGAATATGGGGGGGGGGCTGGCAAATTTATATTTATTACGGATTATTTATTTTCATCCATGAAATTCCAGTTGATTATTTTGATTTTGTCAAAAGATTGAAACGAGGACATTGATTACCCCTTTATTTTCTTCTTTGTCTTATCGGTACCTTTGATCTTGCGAATCGCCGTATTCACCATTTTATATTTAAGACTAATCATTTATTTCCCTATAAACACACATACATGTAGCGGAAACCAAATATATTAATAAATTAAAATACAAGAACATAATGGGAAACAAGGGGGACTTTATAATTTAAGCATTTAATACAAAGGAAAAGTGTTTCATTATTTTTCTTCGAGGTGAAGTTTTTTGGGGTTTTTTTAAATTTAATGTTATATGTCAACAAAACATGCACATGATCAACTTGGAAATGTTTCAATGACACGGCTAAACACTTTTGAATAAAATTCAACTCATTTTTATTTATGCCCCCAGTGGGTCCATTTGTAAAAATAACACTGAAGGAAATGGTTACAGAGATATGTATTTTACAATCTATATGAACAGCATTGTGAAATTCCCCTGCAGTGAACAGTAGACAAACAACTTGATTTGCTTGGTATGAAATTTTCTATATTTTAATTAACAATTTGTTGAATGTGTTCAACAACCAGGACAATTATAAGGCAACCGGTATTGGTTATTATGTTTTTCAAAAGACATATGTTTTCATTATTAATTTTTTTACGTTTCAAAAACTATAATTACTTTGAAAAGAAGGGTTTCTCTTTAGGATAAAACGGGCTTGAAGCTCGTGGGGTTTTGTAAAACCTTAATTTAAAATAAAACCTGCACAATTATGTAGGAATTGGTTAGTTTAAGTGAGGCCAAAGTATGACTTAATTAATCTTACTAGTCATATCATACTTTGGAATTTAAGAAACGCTGGTGTCAGGAAAACAATTAAGAATGTTTTTCGGTTTTTGTGTATTTTAAGAGTAAAACTAGGCACAAAAATATTGGTATATGTATATACCTGTAAAGTATGGCAGATATTAATATAAATCATATCATACTTTGAAATTTTAACATTGAAAAAGTCATACAAACCCTTTCTTAGATAAAAATATACAATTGACTGTATACTTTGTA